GCTAATGCTGTAGTATATCTTTTATGTAGGATGTCTGCTTTGTGTTCTTTGAACCTCATCTCCAACGATCTTTTTGTGGATCCCACGTATACTAAGTCCTTATCACACCTATGATCCTTTATAGGGATCCTGTATACACCTGCTAATTTGTTTTGGTGCGGAATGTCTTTTGCATTATTTAGCATTCTAAATATAGCGGGACATCTTCTAAATATTAAGGAGGCTTGTTTTCTTTTGGCGATCTCTTTGTAGATTTTCTCTAAGTATGGATTGTAAGTGATTAGGATTCTGTCTTTCTGAGTGTTACTTTGTTGCCCTTGTAGTTCTGTTAGATCTGTTCTTCGTGAATGCATCCTTTTTTCGATCCTCATGGCTATCCTACTATTATATCCATGTCTTTTGGCCATGCTATTAATGGTGTTGATCTCTGTATCCAGTGCCCGCATTGTCGATGAGTGGGTGTATGCTCTATTCACCAAGTTATTAAAGGCCGCTATCTTATACTGCCATGAGTCACATGAATGCGCAGGGATATACAATTGATCTGCCTGAGGCTTTCTGTATACCTCTGTGTTGATAGACTTTCCTTTAACTATGATGTTCACGTCGAGAAAATGAATTTGTTTATCGCTCTCCTGTTCGAGGCCCACAGTTAATCCATACGTGTTATTATTAAATGCCTCTATGACTGCCGTTATGTCAGGTTTAGATTTCCATAATATGATTATATCATCCACATATCTTTTGTATGTAATAATATTGTGGAGTAGGTCTGGCAGTATTTTCTGTTCAAGGAGTCTAATTACCAGTTCACATAGATCTCCTGCTATCGGGCCCCCATAGGTACACCTCTTTTCTGTTGGTATACCTCGTTTTTGAATTGAAAGAAAGAATTGTAGCAGTATAAAATAGCGGCCTTTAATAACTTGGTGAATAGAGCATACACCCACTCATCGACAATGCGGGCACTGGATACAGAGATCAACACCATTAATAGCATGGCCAAAAGACATGGATATAATAGTAGGATAGCCATGAGGATCGAAAAAAGGATGCATTCACGAAGAACACATCTAACAGAACTACAAGGGCAACAAAGTAACACTCAGAAAGACAGAATCCTAATCACTTACAATCCATACTTAGAGAAAATCTACAAAGAGATCGCCAAAAGAAAACAAGCCTCCTTAATATTTAGAAGATGTCCCGCTATATTTAGAATGCTAAATAATGCAAAAGACATTCCGCACCAAAACAAATTAGCAGGTGTATACAGGATCCCTATAAAGGATCATAGGTGTGATAAGGACTTAGTATACGTGGGATCCACAAAAAGATCGTTGGAGATGAGGTTCAAAGAACACAAAGCAGACATCCTACATAAAAGATATACTACAGCATTAGCGCAGTATGCCATGGACCCTGATATACAAGCTGTATTTGACGAGGCAAAAATAATTTACACCACACAGATAATACACCATTTGCGATGGATGGAAGCAATATATATCTATAAAACAGCAAGAGAAGACAAGTGTATAAACAATAAGGATGAACTATCATTATCGATAGCATGGCAAACTCTTATTTATGACACTTGAGAAGCCAAAAGCGATCCTTCTATCTACAGAGCATGTGCAAGTTTAATACGATGATTGCACGAGTTTCCTTAGAACACTGCATTCAGATTTCGAATAACATCGATTCTACCCGATTTATTCACCTGAAGAAGAACTAAGTTCGAAAACGTTTGTGAAAATATTTGGACTGTTTTGGTTTACAGCAGAAGTAAGTCGTTTATTTTACAGTGTTGTTAGAAGAGATTATTTATTTGAAACCCAGGGGGTTCGAAAGAGTGAGAAAGCTCAGTTTTGGTCGAGATCTCATGAGAGAGGAAGCATCATAGAGTTGTGCTCTTGGTTACAGGTGGAGAGATCAGAGGCGACAAAGACTTATGAAAAGAGCTAGAGAACCTAATCCGATAGAATTGAGTCAGCTTTTGTAGTGCTCTTGAAAGAGTGAAGATCAGAGAAGATAAAGAGTGAAGTTCAGAGAAGATTTTTCCAAAAGCTAATATTTTTTCATCAAGGAATCCAGAGTGAAGCAATTATAAGGAAATTTCAAAGGAAGATGGACTGATGCAGTAGAGAAGGACAATACAGATAAGTGCAGGAATCAGCCGAATATTGGTTAATGGTAGCCCACCTGAGACATGTGACTAAAAATCCCTGGATGCTTCTTTCTTCTCCTTCTCCTATTTTTACCAGCTATTCTTTTTTCTCCTTAGTTTATATTTAGATGTAGTCATAGTTATAAGTTGTCATGCTAATATTGTTGTGTCTTGGTCAGTTCGATCAGTTAAAGGAACATTTGATTGCCGTATACGCTTAATTACTGCATGTGAGTTGGGATCATTATTATTTGAACTTATTTGAGGTGAATAAAATTGATTTGTGTTATAGACTTTAATGTATTGAATTTCTTTTATGTATTCCTGTTCACAGGACCACAAATACATCACTTCAAACTTCACAATACACAAGGTGTTCACTTTAATATTTATCTAGGCACAAAAGAGATATTTCCAGTATTGCATAAGCATATTCATATAGTGCATTAGTTCCACTGTGTTCAGATTTTGTATGTTTTAGGACAAATAAAACTACTTTACTACAGAGCTTTTATTGAGCATATGTCCTACTCTCGTACACACAAAGGAAGGACGATTCAGACATGAAGGGTTTTGTCAGCGCAGCATTCTATTTTTATACTTGGAATATTGTAACCAGAGTGCCATCTGTGGGAAAATGTCCACAACACAAATAGCAGAATTAAAAATATTAAAATTACATAGATCTCAATATAACAACAACAACAATAATAATTATTATCCCCCTTGATTTCTTTCTTAACACACTGCAATGCATACAGTAAAGTAAATTAATTCAGTAAAAAAAGAGACACATGTAAATTACACACTAGTTTCAATATCCAAGTTTTACAAACAAAAGAATAAGATGCAAATTAAAAAAAATGCAATCTTGATAAATCATGTAGCAACACATGATGCTGATGTCAGCCATTTGCCTGATCCAGCAAACCAATCAGCTGATGCCAATCAACACGATGCTGATGCCACTTGTAAAGTTACCATAATCAAGCAGTTTGCTATTTGATAGAGATTAATTATTAAACTGTGACAATACTTTATATTCATGAACACTACTGTGAAATTATTATACAGTGGTGCTTTGTACTTTTGAATTTAATTCATTCCAGGAAGCCATTCAAACTCTGGATTTTTCAGTCTGAATCAATTTTCCCTATTAGAACTAATGGAAAGTTAACTAATTCATTCCCAGACCATAACTATTTCAATAAACTTAATTAAAACTATAAACATACATAATTTAAGGTAAAAATAACACAATTAAATGCTCTAAATAATAAATTAAAACACAAAAACTATGAATAAAATAAGTAAATACTGTGCAATAAAATAAAAATTGCATTAAATGGTCACACACTGTCAACTTCAGCATCTAAAAGATGGGAACCAGACCCCATACATGTGTACTGCTTTCATGCTTTGTGATAACTTCCTTTTTCACCTCAATAGTCAATATTACAACCTTCTTTCATTATTTGACCACACTTCTTAAACACCATGGTAAATAAGTAAAGATTATATTGGGTTCAACAGAAAGTTTTTATGTATTTTTAACAGCAGTTATTACTAAGGTGACCAGATTTTAACATTGGTGAAGCGGGACAAAATTGACGGGGGTGCTCAAAATTGTCTCGTTGAAAAAAATTGTTTTGGAACAACCAAATTTTATTATCAAAGAACGCAAACATTGTATTGTATTAGATTTTTTAAATTTCAAAACATGTAAAATTTACAAAAATAATAAATATGTAATATTATAAATCCTTATGACAATTTTAAAACTTTTTAAAGTACCTATGACAAATATATTTTAACAATTATTTTAATCCTTCTGTATTTCTTTCTAAATAATAATAATACTAACTTGTATTACTTTTCCTCTGAATTTGCCTTGAATGTCACTTTATTATTGTAATTTTTCTATTATTACATAATACTGTCATAACTAAAATAAACCCCAGCCCCACTTCTAGCAATAGAATGATGCAAACCAATGTGTTTACTCTCACTAGTTGCTAGCTTTCTAAGGTGGCAACAGATGGGAGCTCTGTGCCATGTAACACGCAATGAACAAAATGTTCACTTGTTTGGACAGTCTGTGAACACATTCTACTCTGTTGCTGCAGCTGTGCATCCCAAACAATTTTCTGTTGGTCTTTGTCACAAAAACGAAGGGTTTTGTCAGTGCAGCATTCTTTATTACCGATGCACATGCACACATTGGTACTGATACACATGATACAAAATGATCATTATGAATCTTAAACATAAGACAAATTTATGACACAAAATCTTATTCTTTACCTTTTTGTCAGACAAAAACTTAATCTTTCAAAAACTCGGGACTTTTTAAAATGCCGTGGGATGCAGTACAAATTGTTAAAAATCGTGACTGTCCCGCCAAAAGCGGGATGTCTGGTCACCTTAGTCATTACTTAACATAGATGTATGAATTAATTATAATAGCTGTGAAATTTAACATATTATTGCTAATGTGAGATTGTATTCTTTGTTTAGAAGCTTATTTTAAACTTTTTAATTCATGTTTTGTTTGAATAAAATCAAATTGAAATGTCTTCAGATGAAAAGCATGTCTAACATATTGTGCTTTATGAGTTTTGGAAAGGATGTAATGTTGTACAAACTATGAAGGAAATTTGTAATGTGTATGGAGAATATGTTCTTAAACTTAGAACATATCAAATGTGGTTTAAAATGTTCCTTTCTGAAAATTTAAACTAAAGGATAAAAAAGTATGGGGTGTCAAAAAGCTGTCATTCAAGAAAAATTGCAAGAATAAATTGTTAAAAAATTTATGAATAACACCCACAATATATATAAAATGAAAAACATACCAAAAATAAAACAAAACAGCATTGAAAGATACGAGTATAATGTGAGAGCGAGAGACAACTTGGGCACATAAACCACTTTGTGCTTTTAGTTCACTTTTTCATTGGAGCGCAGTTCGAACTTCGAAGCATCATTCAAACTCCAAGGTGAATTTTTGACAAAAATTCATCTTGGAAAGTTTGAAGTATGAGGTACTACTATACTTTATAGAAAAATTAAACAAAATGTACAAGAGGGAATGTACCAAGATTTATGTGTACAAAATTCTAAATGCAATACACCACTTAATGTAAACCTATATAACCAGGGTGGCCAAGCTCCTTGATAGTCCGAGCCATTTTTCAAAATTTGAAATTTTTCGCGAGCTGCAATTAAATACGTATTAAAAAGGTATGCAAAAAATTCCAGATTACAAATTGTATCCGTAGCAAGAGTGATACAAATTGTTCCCTCCAGAGCACAATGTCAACTGTCCATTGCAATGACAGTTTCCAAATTCAAAATCGGTCTGGAGTCGGTCAATAATGCCACTGTTTATGTTCGTTCGCGCAGTTTTCGATGAGTCATATCATTCTTAACTTGGACGGAAATGAAATTTGTTACAACGTTGCACTTAATCTTTCATATTTGTTGTTAGTAATTTAATTAAATTAAAAGACATTTTGAAACACATACGGAACAATAATAATTTTTTAAAATATAACAACACAAAAATGAAAAGGGAACTTGGGTACATTTATCAAGAACCACAAATAATCCTTCAAAGAGCCGCAAGTGGCTCGCGAGCCGCAGGTTGGCCACCCCTGCTATATAATATAGTTAGAAATCAGGGTCCAGATTGTCCTCATCTTCATAACATTGAAGTTTTTATGTACAGTAGAGCATTGATTATCTGACCCGGATCAACTGTCACATCGGTTAACCGACCGTGTTCTAGTCAGCTAATTCAAATGTCTGCTGGTAATGAGGCGCTATAATATTTGGCTGTCTTGGCTACTTTAATATTATTTTTGGTGCTTTAGCTGGCAACACTGGTTCAACGATGAAAGGGATGCCAGTATTTAAACGAGGCTTAATTTTCTAATTATGAGTGGTTGTTCATTTTGTAAGCAATAAAATAATTTTTAATGACACAATAGCGACAATTATCATTTAAAGAAAATTTTCTTAGGCTTAACATTGATGAAAATTTAATGCAAAATAATTTAATAGCGATATACTAATATACTAATTACATGAGATATAATAATATAATAATGTATTTTTTCATACTTTTCGGTTATCCTTTTTTTCAGTTATCCGACCAACCCAGTCCCCAATTGAGTCAGGTAATTGATGCTCTACTGTACAGTACTTCTATTCATATCCACATGAAGTTCTGCAAATAGTTCTCAATCAGATTTAATAGTTTGCAAGAACTATAATATGTAACTTTGCTTTTTATGATGTAACTTTTCTAAAGTGTTATACTATACTTTATGAATATCTGGAATGTAACCAATATATTTTATAACTTCTCAAAGATATATATTTGATTATCAAATTTATCATAATATTAAGAATGAAAAGTATGAACATATAATATAACCAATGCTGGAATTTTAATCAACTTAAATCTAATCAACTGGGTTATACTTAAACAATAATAATTAAATTAAACAATTTATTTCCCTTTACTCCAATTTGTTAGTTTAATCATCCTTATTATAGCCTGAAAATTGTCAAAGGCTTAAATAACCTTAGCCAAATGATCATCATAATGAATCGTTTGATGATTGTTTGGCTTTGATTAAAAACATCAGGCTTTAAGATGTTTATATATTTAAATAACCTTAATTAGATGAGCTGTAAAAGGTAATAAAATTTTAAAAATTGTAGTTACAATATAGTTTACTTAATTATGAACTGAAAAAGATAATTACTTGTTTTTATATTAATAATGAGCACTTCTTCATTTTTAAATCCAATTGCAATATATTCTGGAGATAAGAAATTTAAATACTGGGCCTCCTTAACTTTCTCCTTTAAAATAATGTGACCACTATGATAAGACCATACCTATGAAAAAATATATGTATATGTTAGACTCAAAGAATGAAAACTCTCATTGAAAAAAAAAAAAAAGTCCACAATGCCCTGTAGTCACTTTAAATCATCCACAAGGCATTGTAGCACTTGTAAAAACAGCCACAATGCATTGTGACTAATTCAAAAAGAACACAAAGCAAAATTTGTATCGTGGCTTTCATGATATTTGACCACTACACATTGTGGTGATTAAGAAAAGCCATAATGCATTCTGAATGTTAGCTGATGCAACCACAATAGAGGGTGATATGATGCACAGTAGTTTGTAACTTTAAAATATGAGTTCTAGCCTTCAAACATTTTTATTTACAATTTTTAATACTGAAAAACATTAGTTCTACAAGTTGTTTTAGAAATTTAATTTTCATACTTAAAAACATTTCAAATAAATAAAATGAATGGAGTAAAATATACATATACACAATGACATAAAAATCAGCAGCTAAAGTTAAAAACCACTATGTGATGGATTTATTATGATTAAAAGTCACCTCAAGTTCTGGATGTTAACTAATAATGAGGTGATGATAAGAAAATATAATTTTCTTTTTCATTATGATTTATTTATCTTTAATCATTTTATACAAGCAGATAACAAAATTATTCACCACATACAGAAATGTAACTTGGTTATTTTTCAACAACATTTAATCATTCATAAAAATCTGTTGTGATGCTCGAGATGTCAACATTTTCAAACAACTAATTTACTAAAAATAATTATTTTGTCAGAATACAAATCAAAGAAATATCAAAGAAATAAACTACTAAACATGACTGATTCTAAAAAGAGATAAGGTAGATGACAACTCCATTCCTATGAGAGAGAGTTATGTTATCTGTGAAAATTTATTTGTCTGTTGAATGAAGTAATTCTTCAATTAAGGCACAAGTTTAAAGTGTTCAGTGGGAGAATGAGTAAGAGAGTTAGAGAACTGGGGAGAGGAATGAGAGAACTGTCAAGAGTGTTGGCAAAAAGCAAAAGTGCATTTGAAGGTGACCTCTCATCTTTTATACAAGAATTCCATCCAGTTGGATTATTGGAAATAAACCCTTCATAGTTCCAATGCATGACAGAAGTCAGGCATGCATTGGAAGCATGAAGGGCTTATTTGGTTTTACACTATCCACTAGTTTGTGTGAGATGTCTTACATTATCCACAAAACTGCCTGACAGAAGTCAGGCAGTCTTGTGGATAGTGTAAGACATCTCACACAAACTAGTGCTTATGGACAAACCAAATTGTTTTCCTCTAGTTGAAAAGGAACTTTACTTAATTTTTAGATAGATAATTTTCTATCAAAATAATAACAAAAATTTGTTATTTAATTTTAAAATTTACATCATTAACCTCCAGAGTCTCACAGTCTCCAAAAAAACAAAAAAGATATATCATCAACCAAATCTGCATTAAAAAAAAAAAATTCAAAAGAATTCAAAAATTTAAAAATTATCAATTCAAAGTTTAATATATGCAAAGAATGTATATTATCAGCAGACTCTTTGATATCTCAGTATTTCTGCCTTAGACTAATTCAATTAAGTTATAGCTAAAATTTTATCATATATCAGCAATTACCTAAAAGTTTATGAAATTAACCATAGAACTTTATCCATATAATAATTTTTATATTAAGTTTAACTCTCACAATAACTTCTATACACATACTTGCTCCAATAATTTTCCCATGCCTTGAAATAATCTTGAAAAACTTTCATTTATATTGTGTATGTGCTATGTATAAACATTATTCTCAATATTCAAATATCAATTCTTTTTTGTTTGTATTTTAGTTAATTAGTATTTAACTTTTAAATGCAAAATAGAGAGGTTGAGGTGCAAGTACAAATGTTAAACTTGTACGGCAAGCAGAAGTACACACTTGACGCTTTAAGTTCAAGTAAAAGATCTTGCGGCGCTTGTTCACATCATCATGTAACTCAGTGAACGTCGCACATTGACTCACGGGAAATTTGTTGAAAAATGGCAGATACATTTGACATTGAGGGTTACCAGCAAAGGTAAATAAACAAATTAAGCTGTTTAAAAGTATTTATAGGATGTTTAATAACACTAAATAATTATTTTTAATTAACATCGTGTCTTCTACCGTATGATTGGACGATAGGACTACCTCATACTTTTGTTGAGGGAAGTGGTGGCTTATGTAAATTCAAAAGCAGCTCGGAAAATTATTTTTTGGAAATTTACAAATGAATTACATTGTAGATGTTAGAAGATTCCGTAAAAGAACTAACCTACTTTAAGATAACCTATTATGAAAACAAATACAGTATATGTAAACTCTATAGGCACTTCACATCATTTGCTAAAAAATTGAATAATTAAATAATTTCTGGATTAAAATCATCTGTTTCTTTATAATATTATTTGCAAATGCTTAAATAATCATTATTTTAATTAATTAATAAAATTTACCACAAACACAAAAAAATGAAGAGGTTTAAGCTGATCGTCTACTCTCCATTCTAGATACAGCAAACGCCATTATTGACCGTATAGAATTGCCAGATGGTGGTGCTTTTCCATCCACTGTTCATGTTTTGGGCTAAATACATGCACCTCAACTTCCAGTTTTTAATTTCTAACTTTTCTGTTTAATTATTAGATATAAAAGTTAAAAGGCAATCCTGTAATACAGGATAGATCTAACTTCTGAAATCACGGTAATATTTGTAATCCTGTATGCAGCTTGAACGCAGGGTCTGCCTCCATTCTATCATTGTTGAGCTGCAATTTGAAAAAACTGTAGACCTATAAATTCCTACTGTCATCTGTCCATCTGTCTTTCCTTAATCTTGAGATCATAGATGGATGAAATCTGAGACCAGATATGAAAACCTTATAGGCAGGAGGCCCTCACTGAAATAACATGACTTCCAATTTGCATCAGAAGTTATGTTATTCAATTTAAAACTTTCTCCTGAAAGTAGTTAATAGATGACTGACACGACTCCATTTCTAACAGAAAAGTATGATGTACAGGGGCAAGACACTTATAGTACCAATTTGAAGTGGAGAGCATATATTTTAAATTAAATAAATAAAAAATATGATTAAAAATTGTAGTGAAGCATTGTGATGATGTCACAATAAATAATTGCTCATTTCTATTATGTTATATTGAAAGACTATGATAATATTTACAATCGGAATACATGTTTAAAAATACGAGTTAGGGAGAATTTATTAGGGAGTAAGTTGTTATCAATTTGCATTCTCTCTTATTTCATTTTGAATAATTATTTTTATTGTAATTTAAAAAACTGCAATATTGAAACACTTTACACATTAGTATTAGAACATATTTTTTGAACTTTTAAAAAAATTAAAACATACTTATATTCTTTGATTTTTAANCTCCAGAATCTCACATACATTTTATAACAAAAGTGTTTGATTTTCTACTTTACAAACAATTATTGCTGCTATTACATTTATGAATTCAAAATTTAAAACAACAAATATAAAATATTGATAACAAAATTATTAATCCAACTATTTCGTAACTTGCTTTATTATTTGAATCTGACATTTTATAAATGTAGACCATTTTATCTCTCAAATGTTTTTGAGTATTTCTACTTATTTTTAGAAGATTAAAAACTTGTTCTAATAAAGCAAGAACTATGTAAATTTTAAGCCAAATTAAAAAAAAAAAACCCTATAACTTACCATTAGTTTTCCAGAGTAAGTTCCAACAATTAATCCAGTAAATTCTGAATTTTTAATTAATTCCAAACAAGTAACTGAATCATGAGAATTTATAAATTTCTTTTGATGGCGTTCTATTTTAATAAATAATTTAATAGTTATAATTTAGCAGAAACTAATTTCTATGTAATATTAAAAATACTTTACCATTACAATCCGTCAAATATTTACTGTAAAGCACACTTTTTAAACATGTTGACTGTCAAAGGACAAGATTTTATCATCACATTACTACATTTCTGTTTCATTTATCAAATAATAATATAATAATAATAAATATCAAAATAAACTAAAAAATTAAATAAAAACAATTTTAGCATCTTAATTTTAAGTTTATTTCAAGCAATGAGAGAATTCCTGGCAAAAAGTGGAAAGAGAAATAAATAGTGCATCAGCAGTGATGTCCTTTCCAATGAATTTTTCTGTTTTGAGAATTAGAGTAACATTTGAACTTTTCCACCAGTGAAAAATATTCAGAAGGTTTCCTCACCATTCACCTTAGAAACTTAAAAATAGAAGAGAAACCAACTCATCGACAAGAGAAAAGCACCATAGATAAAACTAACGCACACTTGTGCTCCCGAGTGGAAAAAAGTAAGCCCGCACCAAGAAAAGGGGGGGAGAAGACCCCACAAGCACAACTTAAATTCACTAAACCTTAAAGAATAAAACATCCCGAAAATTGTCAAAAAGAATAATGTAAAAGGTTAGCGAGTATTGTCAGAAAATAGGCTGCCAGGCAAACAGGAAAAGTTTATTGTTAGCAATAAGTATGTAAATGAGGGGAATGATCTCACTCAGAATTGTGACGTCACCTCACAGTATAAAGACCAAACCTCAAGTGAAGATGACCGAGGTGAGCTTCTGTTAGCAACGAGTGTGGTGAGCTTCGTAGCAGCAAACAAGAGAGAGGTGTCCGATAGGATAAAGTAGTTCCAAGGCGATTTTGAAGTTATTTGATTTGTGGATCGAAGATTAGAGAAAGTCTTGAGAGTGGAGGAAAAAGGTTCCTAATATTGAGGTGATGATTAGGACCTTTAATTCATAAGAATTATTGTACATAAGTTAAGTCTCTGAATCTTTTTTGTCAAATTCCAAAGGGGAATAGAGTTAAGATAGAAAATAGATTCATTTGAGTTTTGTCGGGTTGATTCTTATTGATTTACGTTGAATAAATTGTTATTTGATTTTTACTACATTTTGTGTATAGTTATTACTAGAATTTTTGGTACTTATGGGTTAAGAGGACGCCAGTTGGAAATAGCGTTTTTCCGAATAATGCAATTTTTTATTTGTCAAATTTAATAAAATTGTTAAATCAAACAATAAATTACAATTTATAAAGATATAACAAAATTTCACAAACTGTAATAATAAACCACTTGAATATGCAAATTGTTTTGTAATGTATATGGTAAATAGGCGATATCTATCATCCTAATTGATTTTTTTTCATTTTTACAACCTTATCAGTAAATTTTCTTCTTTTTAGATTTAAATTTACTAGTCTATTGTTATTTTGATATTTTTGTTCAAAATTGCGACTTTGATCGCTATTTCCAACCGGTGTCCTCTTAACCCGTAAGTACCAAATTTTTATTAAATGTTGGATTGTTTTTGACTAACTTTGTCATTATTTAATTCGGTGTACGCTTAAAGTTCAGGCCTGGCACATTAACGCGAATCCTTGTAAAGTACCATTAGGTAACGGCTATTTCCGGCACACAATCGTGTCAATAATCATTGGAAAAGGCAGAAAAATAATACAGTACTTTACAAGGTGAGAGAGAGAGAGAGAAAGAGTTTACATCATTATAAACATACTACCTCAATTAATAGTTGTTGCTCTTTTGTCGGATGACAGTTCGGGTAAGCGACGATGTTAGTGGAGATTTGGGAAGCAGTAGAAGAAGAGTGGCTTGAATCAGACCAGGTAAAAGATCGGCCTGGCAAAGGACTGTCAAAGACTGGAGCAAAAATGGCCTCAAATGGTGGGAAATTGCTCTTTGTATACACAAATCCCCTCCAATCAAAATTTGGAATTTGTATCATCTGATGGGACATACAGATGAGTCAAACAGCCAGATGTTTATTAAAATTTGTGATAATCTCTTGTAAAAGGAATTTTGATTTCTCTTTACATCACAAAAGTGACAAAAGTAGCACCTTTTTTGACGGGAAAAATTACTTTAATTTATATGCCTTTGATTTATATTAACAGTAGTTTTATATTTGAAGGAAAAAGATTTTTTGTGTCTAATTCACAAAGGGGATATCTAGATTGATTGATAAAATAGAGTATAAATTTTATTATGATAAATCAATCTCCAGAATCTCACATACATTTTATAACAAAAGTGTTTGATTTTCTACTTTACAAACAATTATTGCTGCTATTACATTTATGAATTCAAAATTTAAAACAACAAATATAAAATATTGATAACAAAATCATTAATCCAACTATTTCGTAACTTGCTTTATTATTTGAATCTGACATTTTATGAATGTAGACCATTTTATCTCTCAAATGTTTTTGAGTATTTCTACTTATTTTTAGAAGATTAAAAACTTGTTCTAATAAAGCAAGAACTATGTAAATTTTAAGCCAAATTAAAAAAAAAAAACCCTATAACTTACCATTAGTTTTCCAGAGTAAGTTCCAACAATTAATCCAGTAAATTCTGAATTTTTAATTAATTCCAAACAAGTAACTGAATCATGAGAATTTATAAATTTCTTTTGATGGCGTTCTATTTTAATAAATAATTTAATAGTTATAATTTAGCAGAAACTAATTTCTATGTAATATTAAATATTAATGACTTAACTAATAATAATATTATTATTATTAATTTATAAAATAATATAATTATAATATTAAAGTCTGCTTATATTTATAATGAAGCTACACATTTTATTGAAAATGTTTTAATATAGCATTACAGTAGAGCCTTGAAAACTCGGCACT